AATGTCCCCACGGTAACGTTTCCGTCGAATCCAGCACGATGTATCATTTGTTATCGTACGGACTCAGAGCAATTTTCGACTGGGATACCGTATATATTTGGTATAACTTGGATTTTATATGACTGGCGACGAGTCATTTCGATCTCTTCATTCAAGCATCGCGTGTAATCGAACGTTATTGTTCGTGCTACGACGTTACTCTTTACACCTTTTTACCATCCACCCTCACCGCATTTTCGCTCTGAGTCCGACAAATTCCGTCGTCCATAATCGCACTGTTATTATCATCCTTTATTAAGCCGGGTATTTTTTATTCTCGAGAGGCATACTATACGCATTGTCCGTCGGATAATCGCTCGTATCGAATCTGGCGATATCGCATTTCATCATCTCGTACACATCGTCGCACTCGATGTGATATACAAGACTGTCTGTGTCGGTGTATATGATCTTACATTTGTCGTGATACAGTGATGACTTATACTTGTAATGAAATTCGTACAAGCAGATTTTCGATATATCGAATATACACATACATAAATCGGCTTGTTGAATTTCACCTCGTTTACGCAGTTCGATGGCGATTAAATTTTCCGCAAAAACGCTGCGGCTGTGAAAATTTGGTTTCGCGATCATTGTCTCAACACCGTACTATCCGTCCCATTTCGTTATCAATTTTACATTCATGTGATTTCGAATATTTTCCATTGTTTTAGCAAATACCGCATTGTTCATCAATTTGTACAAATTTTTTTCGAAATCGTTTTTCGTGCACATTCTAAGCTGTGTTCGATGTAATCGTGGATTACATTTGACGTAATCGCAAAGCCAGGTGGATTGAGCGAATTGTAGTATGTGGTGTATCTTTACGATATGAAGACCGTGGCACATACATTGCTGCAGGTTGCGATAGTGGATGAGGTATCGCTTCTTATCATATAACGTCGCGAGAAGTTTATCCTGCCGGGTGGTTTATCGCGCATCGAACAGAAAGGTAGGTCAGGTGTGTCGGTCGTGCAGATGATGCGGATACTCGAGATCGACCTCGAGAATATAACCCGTAAGCGAATCCGAAGCGATCGCGCTCGCGTCAAAGTTCGCGATGTCTTCAATCCATCGAAATTTGGCATAGGGCAGCGGTTGACACATCGCTCATCCATATAGATTATTCACATCGTAGTACATTAAATACGATGATGGTTTCGACGGGTTGTACGAACGCTTGTTATTGGCCTGCGCATATTTGCCGGAATATTGGCCGCCGTATATATCACGCTCGATAAACATAATCATATCGATGTTGGTGAGCAACTCAAATTTTATGCGCGTATATTTCATAACATCCCATCCAGCATAGCATCCCATGTAAAACCTAGCAAAGTGTAATAATGCGCGGGATCGAGACTGTAACTTTCGATACAAGTTTCACGGAAATTTTCAAAAATTCGGCTAATAACAAGACATCGGTCTTCAAATATAGATCGCTATATTCGCCTAGGGTTTCAATAGAGAACCGCTACCAGACGTTCACGGCGTACGCGTAATCGTTCTCCGACATCGTGTCACCGGTCAACGAGTTATAAAATGATTCGCGCGATGATAGGCACGTGTCCTGCAGCTTGTCATCGCGCGATCCACGTATTCATAGGAAAAGACACCTTTACGCGTCAACAAATCAAAATCCTTGTTCGATAACGTGGAAAATTCGGAACGTAAAATTTTCAATTTCTCTCTGCTTAAAAAGGATGTCAATTTATCGAGACTGGTACTCAAAAATTTGTACGAATCGATGAATCGTAGTTGTATAATTTTGCGAATCTGATCTGTCTGCAGTATCTTTGACATGTTTAGTGAACGAAATATATTTTTCCTTTGTTGTATCGGCAGCACGTCGATTCTGCCTTCGTACGTCGTAGCTATTTCCGTGATAATAAAGTGCGTGTCCGGATAAATTTTGAAAGACTACAGGAATGCAGTATGATTTTTTATAATTTAAATTGCAATTCGAATGCACATAACGATCGATAAAGTGGCAATAATCGCGTACCCGCGTGTCGTCCGTCGCAAATAATTTTTCACAAATGTGACAACACATCGCGCTATGGTATGTCTTCCACTGTTCTCTCAATAATGTTTCCATAGGGACATTCGCGGATAACAAAATTTTTACTCGAGGCGAAAAGTCTTCGAGTTGCCGAACGAACCACGCAACGCAATCTTCACCGCGACGAAATTGATATGCCGATAACGCGTCGTCGTACGAGCATCGCACATAGTATCTTACGCTAAATATCTCGTGCTGCTGTTGATATGTGTACGACGTCGTGTTTTCCCTCTCCAGCTCCATCCTTCGCAGTACGCACTCTAGATCCGCGTAGACGATGAATGAAAGTCGTTCTTTGTTGCAGTGGTTCTTGAATTCGAGCCACTTGTCCTCGTTCGGCAGTCGGATGGTGCAATCGTTTATCCGTTCGCAATTCACCGTATGCGATTTCTCGGATGAATTAAAATAATGTAGACATGCAAACGGAATGATTTTTTTAGTATTTTTAACATTTAAATTAACAATTATAAAATATTTTACAATTTGTTAAAAAATGTGCATACGTACCGATCACAAAAGTATTTCTTGTGTTCTTTTTTATTCAGTTGCGAGCTCACGAGACAAAACAAATTTTTGATATACGCGAAGTGTTCCACATTATCGTCGCGCGGATCCTGCATGTATAACAGATTTGCGTGTTTCTCCATTTTCTTTGTCAGATATATCGGGAGAATCTCCTTTCCCTTGACCGTAGACGTTGATGGAGATGTCGTTGAGATATTCGAACTTTTTAATTTGATTCAATCGTCATCGGAAACGTAATGTCTTAGAGATTCAGTACCGTCGTATAATGTGGATATGACAATTCCCGATTTGTATGTCTTTCGGCCGAATGCAAGGCCGCGATCATGCGAAACACGCATTGTCCGTTGACGTTAATTATCGCTCTCTTCAACATAATTTTCCGCGGTAACTCGATGTAACACCCCGCGTGCATGGGATTACATTTATTCATATTAATTGTTAAATTTAATATACGTGACAGCGCCCATCCACTGTCGCGTTCCTGAAACTCTTTGAGCGATGCCAACGTAGGTTCGATGATGTGCTGCTCGTACCACTCATTTGACACTTGAAAGAGTTCACTATTTTTGACATTTGACACTCGAAAGAGTTCACTATTTTGTAACGGCAGGGCCGTTACGAGGATACATACATACATACATACATATATATATATACATACATGTACATAAATATATACATATATATAAACGCTTGGCTTACTATCCTGCACTACCCATCCCGCTTGCACGTACATCACTTGCGCTATCGCATTCGCTTGCCTGTAGGTCGCACGCGCCGTCTCGCTCACGCTATCTCGCTCGCGGTGCCCCCACGCGATACCGACTCCCCGCCACCGGACCGACGGCGCGCAGTGGGGAACGCCGGCCGATTTATGTATATACGCAATCTGTATGTATGAAATGTTCACTTGGAACTAGTATATTTGGTCACTGCTTTAGTTCCCTCACTGACTACGTGCTTGGCCAATTCTCCAGGCAAAAGGAGCCTGACTGCGGTTTGTATCTCACGGGACGTGATCGTCGATCTTTTGTTGTAATGCGCCAACCTCGACGCTTCGGCAGCAATTCTCTCGAAAACATCGTTAACGAAGCTGTTCATGATACTCATGGCTTTGCTCGAAATACCAGTATCGGGATACACTTGCTTCAACATTTTGTAGATGTAGATAGCATAGCTTTCCTTCCTCTTCCTCCTCTTCTTCTTGTCGGTCTTGCTGATATTCTTTTGAGCCTTGCCCGCCTTCTTCACTGCTTTACCACTGGCTTTCGGTGGCATGATGAAATCGGACTAGCTTTCAACACAACGAACGGAACGAGGTCTGAGCGTCGATAAGCCCGGCCGGTCGAGACCAGATCCCATCCTGCGATCCGACTCCCGATATCGACCTAACCAGTACCTACTACCTCTCAGGGCCAAGGTTTCACTTGGCTTTCACCGGCTTTCTCTATCTTCGGGCTGAGGTTTCACTCAGCTCTGTCGGGTTTCGCCGACTCCTGTCACCGCTCCACGGGCTGAGGTTTCACTCAGCTCTGTCGGGTTTCGCCGACTCCTGTCACCGCTCCACGGGCTGAAGCTTTACTCAGCTCTGTCGGGTTTCGCCGACTCCTGTCATCGCTCCTCGGGCTGAGGTTTCGCTCAGCTCCACCGGGTTTCGCCGGTTTCCGTTGCGAAGGCAGGGCTCGACGTGGCACTCAACCCTGCCCGCAATACCTAACCGTCCCGTCTGACATTAGCTTGTAAGTGCATGCGATAGAGATTAAGGCCGCTAGTTATAAGTCAATAATCCTAAGATCCTTAGTGTAATCGCGCCGTGTAAACAAACCGTTGTCGACCGCACGCCGCACCCGTCCTGCGCATCTCATCGCCTTACGTCGACCGATTGCGTCTCCGCTTTGCTACCAGCGACACTGTGACATCACCCGGCTCTGCACTACTCTGTATCTACCTCTGTATTCTACCAATAAACGATCTTTTCGCCGCCACTTGTGTTCGCATACGCTTGAGTCTCCCCTCCTCTCGAATCCGGACACCGACGAGCCGATCCGAGCGTCGAGCGAGGTGACCGCGTCACAATTTTTAGTGTTTATACTTTTATTGGCGCGTTTATCGCCCATCACAAACTCGCCGTTGAATGCGATGTTCACTTTCACACTACCGTGTTTTTCTACAATGTCTCGCACTCGCTCGAGTACTACATCACCAGCGTCTTCCAAAAATCGTCGTGGCTCGATGTAGTCCACGTTAATTACCACGCCAGTCAATATATGACTTTCAAACGCCATATCAATCTCATGCCAAACGAGAGATCCATTATCTCTACTGGAATTCGCGAATTCGTCACCAAAGTACACAAAATGTTTTTCTAATTGAATTTTTGCATCCGCGAGTCGCACGATTCACTCGCCACCAGATTGTTTGTTTCCAACGGTGAGTCGAGAACGCTTAACACAACTGAGTTCTTCGAGCTACTCCATGCACTCGTCACATCGTTGCAGTCACGTGAAACACTCCACCAAAGTAACGATCTGGCTGCACTGTTCCAGCAGCTCGCGTTCTACTCGCTCGGTGTTCCATTTTTTATATATTATATTATGTCCCACGAACACTTGCACTTGCACGTAATCCGGTCCACAATATCATCTTTCTTATGCGGTGCAAATTGGGCACATGTTACATGGCATTGTTATATACGGACTGACTGCAATTGGAGCAAAATCCGTTTAGCGCATCAAGAGTATTTATCTCATGCTTTCTAACATACATTATTCTAATATCAGTGATCGTCAGACGAACCATGCATTCGGCACATACAATTAGAACATCACCCGATCGAATAATAAAATTGTATTGTACAATGTTTTCTATTATTATTCAGTACAAGGAATTTCGAACGCGTAACAGTTTTCTCTGCATAATCCATTAGCTCCTCACTCTGATGCAATCACTGTCGTCAGATAACACGTGTTCATCATCTTTATCTTCAATATCAATGTCAATGTCAATATTTCCAACATTCTCAATTTTTTCTTCTTCGTCTCCCCACACGTCCACTATATTCGCGATGTCTTCCACGTTCATATTTATCACATTCAATATTCGCACCGTCAACTATTTTTCTCACACACAATATCGCGATCGATATTCGTTTCGAGACTTCCGAGATCTATTCCGCGTGCCCAAGAATCTACTATATATATCGTCTGTAATTTCATTATCCCTTTGTCGAATTCGAAGCATGGTCATAGGTTTTCTGAGCAATTTTGATTTTTTACAGCAGCCCAAGTTTCCCTGTTTTTTTCACCCCCCAATTTTTTCTCCGATAAGAAGATTCGATAGAAAAGATTTGATGATTCTTTTTTTTAAAGACAGCATAACTTGAAAGTAACAATTGGAATAATATCAACCGATATCCGGAAATAATTTTTTTCATAAAAAGAAACTTGATATTTATGATGGAATATTATTTATCGGTGTAATATCGATAAAAAGGGGTAATGTATTCATTTTTATAGTTTCCGTTCCGTGTCGCTGCCAAAATTTATTTGGCTCTTATGAGAAAACTTGAACTTGACCAAACAGGAATGAGCACGTTTCAGTATTTATTATTAGGAAAAAATTAAGAGATGAGAAGGGTCCATTTACTGACTAATACATTATTTTCATTATTATTAATACATTATTGAATAACAAATTTTTCGAGATTGTTCGAAATTAACTCGTTGCAACATGTATATTTATAGCAGCCGGATTATTGGCGCTTCTCTTAACATGCTGCAACACGTCGTCGGTGCTATTTTTTTTAAATCGGGACATCATTATAAATCTTCCGAATCGCAATTTGTTAGATACATAGCAGCCGGAGTATTGGCGCCTTTTTCCTTTTTTTCCTACGTCAATTTCTACAAAAAAAACATCTTTTCTAGCAGCTTTTCCTAGACAAAAAAAAGACCCCCTTCCTTCCCCTCAAAAGTACATTCTAAAAGACCATCGACAAAGCATTCCCTTTTTCCCGTGCCTATCAGTTACTCTCTTTTACCCTCGCGTCACCGAGTTACCCCGCACACCCACACCCCGCTCCCCTGGAACCCCTGGATTAGAACCAACCTAGTATACCTACTGCTACGGCTAGGAAGAGTTTGTGTGCGAGCAACTGGAGCCGACGGATATGGAGACAGTTCTCAGGCTCGCATTAGAGAAGCTTCGTTTAATGAGAGCAGAGGCTTCGCTGTTGCAACAAGGAATGGAGATTCGTGTGCTTCCTGGACAGCAGGGAGAGTCAGGATTGCGCTCGGAGGAACAACGTTTCGCATCAGGCCAGTCTAACCCCAATACTAATTTTATCTCCATAAATAGTCTCGGTTTTAAAATAAAGCCTAATATCTATGACGGAAGTGTTCCGTTACGAGAATTTTTAACGCAGTTTAATTTAGTCGCGCGTGCGAATAATTGGGGAAACGCGGAGAAAGCTGTTGTATTAGCGTTGTGCCTTAAAGGGGAGGCGCGTGCAGTTTTAAAGGAAGGTACAGAATTTGAAAATTTGCAGTACGATAATTTGGTTTCGCGTTTAGAATTGCGCTTTGGAGAAAAATTTTCGACACAAATTTATTATATGCAATTTATAAATCGGAAACAAAATTTCGGGGAGAATTTAGCTTCTCTTGACGCGAATTTAGAACGTTTATCCCTTGCTTATCCGGAGTGGTCGCCCGGTTTGCAGGATAAAATTGCGCGCTCGCAATTCATTGTTACACTAACTGACGGGAACATAAAACAGATTTTACAATTAGAAGGGCTCACGTCTTTAAGAGCTGCCGTTGAAAGGGCAATGATGATAAAGATTATAAGAAGTAATAGTTTTAAGAGAAAGGAAAATTATAATCTTGCGGAAAATAATAATTTTCCTAATTTTAACGGAAAAATTAATTTCGGAAAAGAACAGAATAAAACATTTGGAAGTCGAAAGATGAAGGTTTCAAGTTACAAAAAAACCTGAAAATTTCAAAGAAAAGAGAAAATTTCCCTATAATGTAGAAGAATGTTGTCAATGCGGGAAACGAGGACACTTTCGTTCGGAGTGTGTGTCTCTTTCAGAGACACAAAAGAGAAATTAGGATTCGTTGAGCTTTCTGGAACGGGTTCGACATGTGAGGAGAATGCCCTGAGTTATATTAGGCGTTTTAAAAGGGGTAACGCGAAGAAAAAATGTTTTGTTTTTCGCGGATTATTAAATAACGAAGATTGTTTATTTAAGTTAAATACGGGCTCCGATATAACTCTAGTGAATAGAGACTTTGTGGGAATTAAGGGGAAGCGTTTACCAATAAGGAGAAATAATTTGAGATATCCCACAAAAGAAAAAGTCCCGGTTAAGTATAAAGTTTTAGCGTTTTAGTACAAAGGTAGAGATAAGCAGGTTTTCGCTAGAAATTCTTGTGCATGTAACAGAGATGCTGAGGATTGTATCTTGGGCGCAGATTTCTTTTCGCGTATAGGGATGCAGTCAGCAATAGAATCTTTTCTTCAAGGAAGAAAGCTTTTGTTGCCAGGTAATGCATATAGAGGAGGACTTTTGGTACTTTTGGAACTGAGAGAATTCTTCAAAAATAATTTTCGAGAGTTGGATGAGGAGTAGAAGGCAGTTTTTGCTTATTTACTGCAAAAATTCCGGGATGTATTTTCCGAGCTTTGCTGCTTTGAAATTGTTACTGGAAAGTGCGAAATTCTTCAACATAAAATTGAATTGCAGGATTCTCGTCCAATCAAGCAGGCTCCGAGGAGAATTCCAATTCATATGCGTTCTGAGGTTGAGAGAATCATTGAGAAGATGAAAGAACAAGGGGTTATAGAGGAATCTTCGAGCCCTTGAGTCTCTTGATTTTGGTAAAGAAAAAGGATGATTCTCTTTGCGTAAATTATCAGAAATTAAATGCGGTAACAAAGAAAGATTCTTATCCGCTGTCGAGAATAGATGATCTTCTCGATTGTTCTTCTCAGTTGTCAGGAAATGTTTGGTTTTCTACCTTGGATTTGAAGAGTGGCTACTGACAACTGAAGATTCGTTCTGAGGATAGGGAAAAGGCTGCTTTTTCTGTAGATAATGAGCTCTGGCAATTTATTGCGATACCCTTTGATTTATGTAATGCCCCTACTTTCAAGCGTCTTACTCTGAAACGAGTTCTCCGGGAATTTTCTAAAATCTGCCTGGTTTATTTAGATGACGTGATCATATTTGGTAAAACTTTTGAGAAAATGAAAGAAAATTTAAAAGAGGTTCT